CATTTAGCACCTTCTTGGTTTTCTTCATGAACTGCTTTATCCAAAAAGCGATAAAGAGTTCAACTCCTCCTCAGGTCGTATAACGACCACTTCGGCGATGTCGCCTGCCTGTAAGGCAATGCCAACTCGGCAAAGGACAGCTCGTCCAGCTCTAATAGAGCACTTACTGCGGGTATAGCCATAATAGCCACCGGCTGGTCAACATCCCCAGTCAAACCATTGACGAGTGTATATAGCTGTTCGCTATCACCGTCACTCACGATATCATCATCGCTACTCGTGATGCTCTCAGCATCCGACGCATTATTGTCCAAAGTTGTACACATCTCAAGGTCAAAGACCACTTCGTTTACTGACTGCACCCCACCCTCTTGGGTCAATGCCTCGTTCATGAGATGCTCGCACCTCGTTGTCCTCGAAGACAACATCCATTGATGACTTCACTCGACCCTCCAGGGTCAGTACCTTGTCGCTAAGTGCTTGCACCTCGTTGTCCTCAAAGATAACATCCATTGATGACTTCACCCGGTTCTTCAGGGTCAGTTCCTCGTCACTCATGTCACTTGGACTCATTTCATGACATCTTGGCTTGCAGCCACCAACATCACTCGCGGTGTTTAATGATGTAACATCATTCTCATGGCACATGTCATATGTGCCATCTAGTGGGTTCTCAACCACACTATCGATATTCATTGGGCCTCGCCCACGACTACTGTCCTCGACACTTACAGAGTCTACAAGGTCGGATATTCCGACATCCAAAATATTGAACGACTCGGTCGCCAAAAGCGCTTTTGCTTCCTAGCAGAGGTGGGTTCATGACTCTTCAGAGCCCCACCAGGAGCATTGCGCGTTGCGCCTAAGGTTTTTGACCTCCAATCAATCCATGGCTGATGACGTTCCAGCCATGCCATGCCTAGGATAAGGTCATACCTCGCATCCAGGTCTAAGACCAAACAGCGTTCCATGCTGTTAAAAAGTCCAAGAACTCTACATTTTTGTCTATCGGGACTTTGGGTACCGTAACACGCATACCAGTCGATAAGCGAACTGTGACTGTGTCACTTTTACGCGCTACAAGCGCTTCAGAATACTGCTGACTACCTTCCACGTTAGTACGGCGCACATAATTGCCCGATGCCCCGATCGATCAAAATGATACATGGCTTATCATAGCTCTTAACCGTTCCTTCGACGACTAGCACGCCTGGCTTGCATTCTCTTCCGTTTTTGAGAATTCGGATCTCTTTGAGGCTGAGCACTGTTTACTTCTACCTCCTGGAGGTTCAACAGAACTCAGTTCTTCCCCAGTAGGGCGCCCCACGCCTACTGGGCTCCGCCGTTTCCCCGCGGCAAAACCAAGAAGGTTTACCCATGGGGCGTCGGCCCTTCAAGGCCAAATATGCCTTTCTTGCAGGACATTTTGCCATCCAATGACCGGTGCTATTGCAGATGTAACGTCTGCGCACAATTTGCTTCTCCGCAGCTTGAATCTCAGCTTCTTCATCCTCCACTACACTACAGTCCATGGGAACAGGCCCATCAAACGAGTAGTTATAAGTGGCAGGCCTAGCGGCCTTAAAGTTGGTCTCGGCATCCCATGCCACTCCAACAGCTTCCACAAATGAGGACGGGTTTACCCGGAAGACTTCCGTTCGGGCAACGCCAACTCGGAGGCCCTACATGAAGACCGTGACGGTCACTGCCTCAGGCATAGGATCTATGACCATGGCAGCAATGAGCGTTCTCAACACTTATACATATGCCGCAAGCTCACGCTTGCCTTGGCAACACGCCAAAACCCGCGACCGGTTACGGTGTGCTTGGTTTGGTGGTGCATACTGCCGGGTCATCTGAACTTTCAGATCGGCCCATGTGGAAAAAGCATCTTGCAATGATGCACCACATGTGAATGCCCACTGTTTGGCTAAGCCACCTAACTTGCCCGTGGCAAAGCCCACACAGTACGGTTCATAGGTGATGTCGGCTGACTCGACCTGTCGAAAACACAGTATAAGGTTGTTCTCTTCCTTGCCGTTGAACTTATCGACTTCCATTTGTATGTGTTTTGGTCTGCGGACCATTTATTGTGCCATAGTTGCCATGGGCGAAGGCTCAGAAGAAGGCATCTGTGCCTTTACATGCTCGAATAGAGCTTTGTTATATTCATCAAGGATGTGAATACGCTTGTTAACCTCTCTTCGCCTTAAACGATGCCCTTAGCGCTAAGGATAGGGAGCAGCTTTTGCAATTATTCATGGTTGTGCCTGCGATAGGCCAATCGCTGACATCTCGTCGATGTCCATTCTCACACAGAGAAGTAGTCGTAAACCCAAGGGCGGGATCGACTATAAGTGCTATCCGGTGTAGCTGAGCTACTGTAGCCAAGCTACATATGCACTACGTGCAGAGGAAGACGAGCTCCCAGAGCTTACATGTCTTAGGGTTCTTAACCTTCTCAAGGCTAGCTTCCAAAACTTATGCCTTTTTAGTTGAAAGTATCCACGACTTTAAGAGACCAGTAACAAAGATATATTTCTTACAAAAGGAATAGAACGCTCTAGCAACGAATGCTATACAGAGCAGGTTTGAAACTGATTTATTTATGTTTATCTGCTAGCACTAAATATAGAAGCACCTACTCGATACTTAGTGCTAGTCACTGTTTACTGGTTCTATAGCCGATTGTTATTATGCAAACATGTATAGCTACTATACTTTAAATAAGTATAGTGACCACGTGGCTCTCTGCCACGATGCGACCCTTCGTACCTTAGGTACGGTCACATCGAGCCTACTAATGTACCCAAGGTACAACCACACCCCATTGGTGTGGCTGGTTTGTATGTAGAATACACATCTTCGTGTAACCTTGTTAGATTCTGCCTCTCCATATGGACCAAATAACTCTTTTTAATCGTTACTAACGAAACCTATCAGTCAAAGAAAATAACATAGAAACACTCGAAGTCATCGACATGGGATGACATTATGCTTTGCGGAGACTCATGTGGATCGTATTTGCGGCACAAACCCATAATTACGACGTGAAAAGGTTTGTTTGAGCCGTGCCAAGGCGGCCGCCTAGGCCTCGTCATCAAGCTGACGACGCTTTGCAGCGTCAAGAGGGTTGGTTTACGTCTTAGTCGGCACTCTCTCGCGAGGAAAGCGTAGGTGCTTGGCGCAATGCGGTTGTTATCCTTGGGGAAGAAGACACAGAAGGGTATTGGGGTCCCTCGCTCGATAGCAGCAGCTTTTTTACGATAGTTTTATGAGGTGAAGCGAATGATTAGAAGATTCGGGGAATAAACTTTCTCGACCAATTCTCAAACCTTAAATCTCTAAGACCTGCAGGATTCTAAATTGAGCCTGTGGATGTGAATATCAAGTTGCGAGTGGTCCATACGGGTAAGCTCGTCTGGCGAAGCGGGATGAACTGAAAGCAAGGTTAAAGTACCAATATACTCGCTCAACTAGATACCATAAAATGTGTTGGTTCATTGAGACAGCAGGACGGTGGCCATGGAAGTTGGAATCCGCCAAGGAGTGTGTAACAACTCACCTGCCGAATGAAGTAGCCTTGAAAATGGATACGCTTAAGCGGGTTACTTATACTTTGCCGTGAACGCGTTTGCATATATAATGTTTGCGTTACTGAGAGGAGGGCGTTAAGGTCGTGAAGGTCGTCAAGAAGCTCGTGGCGTGAGTCTGAGTAAAATGGCCTTTAGTGCAGATATGGTGGTAGTAGCAAACAATCAAACGCGAACTTTGAAGATTGAAGTGGAGATATGTTTCGTGTGAACAGTAATCGGATACGGGTGTTTCGATCCTAAGAGATAGGATAATTTTGTTTGAAAGCTGGTTGTTTGAGGCGTGGGTTCGTTTTTGCGTTTTTTTAAGCAGACACTCGTAAGTGTTGCTTATGTCAGATGTGTAGCACTAATTTGCAAAAGAAAAGCCGAGACCGGAAAAGGGAGTATGAAAGAAAATGTTACACTTGCTGTGCGGGATTCGGACACAAGACAGGATCATTTTTATAGTACCTTCTTTTCTACTTGACTTTTCTAGTAGACAACCTCAATAACTTTGATGATCGTAGTCGACTTCATTCATTAACTCGGGATGTTGGTGGCTGTAGTGCTGGGTTCTCTCTTGAACTTGGCCTTCCCCATTGATGAACGTCCGCTGTCGCTATTCCAAGGCAGCGTGAGTGAGTGGAGTGATATGAGAAGTTATTGAAAAACAACACCATACACATTCTATTTTTCTTTATTTCCTCGATTGTGTGTCCAGCCGTAACTTGGTAAGTGATAAAAGTCTCCTTGTAATGGCAAGGGACTATGAGAGAGAGTGCGCGCTACCTGAGTGGTAGTATGCTTACAGTGACCAAGATGGGAGAGTGTGCTTTTGACCGTAAAAGCTGGAGAAAAGCAGCACAAGATGATTGGTAGTTTGACTGGGGCGGTCACATAAGATACGACTTGCTAAAGTTTATTTGGCCGCATCCCTCGCTTGTAACATAATATCGTATGGTTTGCTTCTAACGAACGGTTAGCCTGATGTACAAGATGGAACCAGGCGTACTTGTATGTGGCACAGTTGGCGCCGCCATCTGTCATATGAACAGTCGCCCAGATGGTCATTCCAACAAGTACTATTTTAACAAAATTGCAGGTGGCAATGTAGAGCCATACTGCTTAAGAGAGTTATTTGTACTAGTGGTGCTTATTTTTACCAGCCAAGCACTTTTTACTTGAGTTTCTCTTATGCTTATACTACTACGTTCGCCTTGAAAGTCAGCTGTCATATTGTCGAAAGCAATTTTATGGTCGACGTCTTTACAAGAAATCTGCTTTAAGTTGATTTGTAGGATTTCGCTTAACACTTTACCACCAATTGCTTTTTGCTAACACTTTACCACCAATGCAAAAAAGCAATTGAATTTATGTATTGCACATCATTATGTGTACACATGATATACAAGCTCCGCACAAGTCATGACGAGCTCCTCCATGTCAACTGCTTTGCATCGTCTCCAACGTGACACCCACGATTTCTGGTCTCCACCGTCCTCTATACGTCGCATTGATGCATCTAATCTATCACCTCTACAGTTTTATCGTGACTATGTGAGCCGTAATGTACCTGTCGTGCTGCTGAATGCGATGACGTCATCTCGATGGCGACGCGCCATTGAAAATTGGCCGAATGATGAACATCTTATCGCCAAGGCAGGTGATCGTACCGTAACGGTAGATATAACGCCTAATGGATTTGGAGATGCAATACTGGAATTATCGAATGACAATGAGAAGCTTTTTATAATGCCTGAAGAGAGAGACATGAGGTTGACGGAATTTCTACAACTGCTGAAGAAGTGCAACGAATTTGATGGCGTTCCATACCTTTCACATCAAAATGACAGTCTAAGAGATCAACTTCCAGTACTGTTGGACGAAGTACCACCAGCTATGAAATTAGCGGTTGAAGCTTTTGGAAATGAACCAGAAGCTGTGAATATTTGGATTGGGGACGAGAGAGCGGTGTCTACTATGCACAAAGATCACTACGAGGTGAGATTTTTTATTCTGCATGATGGAGAGAAAGGGATAAAGGTTATAGGTATTTAATGTGGGAGTGTGTGTGTGGCAGAATATTTACTGTGTGGTCAAGGGCCAAAAACACTTTACCCTGCTGCCCCCATCTGCGGTAGGATGTCTGTACGAACAAGAATTTACTTCAGCAAGATATCGCCACGCGGATTCGCCAGATCCTGATGAAGAAGAACACATGGTGAAAAATCTTGCTGCTACACAACGTTTTCACGAGAAATACCCGCAGCATGTGAATTGGATAATTTGGTCTTCGCCCGATAAGGGGAACATTCCATGGATTCCAGTGGACCCGTTGAACATTGACATAGAAAAGTTTCCACTGGCTGGAGCGTTGAAGCCAATCAATGTTGTTGTGAAAGCCGAAGAAGTGCTATACTTGCCATCGTTGTGGTATCACCGAGCTGCGAACTTGTGTCCCACGATCTCGGTGAATTACTGGCACGACATGGAATTCGACTGTCGTTACGTGTACTTCAATTTCGTGCATGACATCGGTGCCGCGGTCATGAAGATGGAGGAGGATGAACTCAACAAGGCGGCAAATAAAGAAGTACGGGAAAAAGAGAGTAGCGTATAGTATTGGAGGCAATTGATCTACTTGCTATCCACGAATTTCAAATACTGGAACTCCTAGTTCTTATCACTGTCGTGCTCTGCGTGTACGCAGTTACTCCTGATTGAAGATCAACACGGGTTGAGTCTTAACATGCCCGTGTCGACAAGACCATCGACCCCAATCTTGAGCAGGGCTTTTTTGCTTCTTCTCGACTACGTCTGCAAAGCGAAGACTTATCTACAGTACCGAAGAGCGTATCCGCCATATTATCGGTAATGATACGGCGGATACGCTTTTCGGTTTTCTACAAGTAAGGAGAAGAAACATTCGCGGTATAAAGCGACCGATAATCGAATCCTGAGCCTCATTGTGACGATCCATCTCGAAGAGAGATTCATACAACTTTGTGCTGGTTTTTGAGCTTGGTCTTCATGTGGCAGTGCAAAAGGGACTGGAAAGCCGTAATGCGAACTCGTTCCAACGGCGGGTTACGTGGTGCATTTGATACTGAATGAAAATCGGGTGATGATCTATAGAGATGGAGGTGTAAGTTTGCTGTTGTAAATTGGTCAAGTTTGTTCATGAGAACCGAGCGAGGCCTGCAGCGTCCGTATCTCGATGCTTTTGCAGCGTAAGAAGCTGGGACGGAATATACGCGGTTGCATAGTCCAATCCAGGTTAACAAGAATCTTGTATTGGACATCGAGCAGCTGAAATTTAGTCATGCTCAAGTTGCCAAGTATGGTGATAACGTTGCTGACGAGCATCACATGCTTTGGAGGTTCATCTACGTATCCAATGGCGGCATGTGTGTCAATTTGGAAGAGCTGGCAGGTTAGTGCGTCAAACAAACTGCTTTGGCAATTGTAAAACAAAACTTGGTATATTGAATCGAGTAAAAGGGTGAATCTACAGTGATCTGAGTTACGGCAGGATTCTGGTATCAAACTACATCACTGATGCTTGCGTTAGCCACTACTACAATATCCAGTGTGTGACTTCGTATTATGCAGAGCAAATCAGCTGCCACGCCACGGTTACTTCAAGGTTCCTTTTGATTTCAACATGTCTTTCCTAGCCTGAATGATCTCTTGCAATATAATAGCGATGGTCGATTGTATCCCGTCCATACTAGCAATAGCTTTGTCTCGATAGGTTAAAATCATACTTTCCAAAGAAAGACCGTAGTGTTTTTCCAGTACCTCGACAAGCACAATGTTGTCTGCATCGTTCCGCAGTGGAAAATCACACAGGAAGTCATGGACCTGAATTCCGGACTCATCAGTACCTCATCATATCTTATCTCTCCAGTTTCAAGAGGTCAACAAGCGTTTTCGCATTTTAATTATTTTGCGTCCACACGTTTTGCTCCCATTTTACTGCATATGGCTTGCTACTCTTAAACTTTTTAGCTTGAGCAATCAACTTGACCCAATCTTAAGTGGCTCTGCAGCACTTTGTATGCAGTATCTTCAGCGCCTTCATCGTATTTCTTCGTCATGAAAAAAATCCATGTGTCCCATAGTGGACCAAGCAACAACTCTTTGCCTTGTTGCTTGATCTGAAGCAGCTCGAAAACACCGTCGCCCGTGTTCCCAGCATCCTCCACCCACTTGTTCAACATAATGTCTTCCAGATCTATCACAATGGCACCGTTTTTACCAGCACGATGGTCTGCAAGAGTCTTTGCTAAACTAAAGCTGTTCGTGGGCAACATTGTGTCTAGCAAGAACTGATACGGTTCAACGTTTAGCAAGTTCCCATACTCGACCCAAGTCAGCAGTGGCGAACTTTCAAGAAGAGTACTTGGCGTTTTGTTGCTAAGCTCTAGACGCCGAAATTGAACATACAGCGAAGTCTGTCTCCACTTTTGGTGCAATAACTTCACCAATTCATTTGAATGCTCTAGCAAATTACTGCTTTTGCCTGCCTCCACAAACAGTACTGCGAGCTTTTTGTCGCTGTAGTACTGTTGTAGTTTCTTGAACAGCACCTCATACTGATATGTACCTTTTTCTTTTGCATATTGAAAACACGCATCCAGCAACTCATGATTTAGCACTTCTTTATGTATGATACTGTCCACCACTACCAGATCGATGACTTCGTCCACTTCTCTTCTCTCATGCACCCACTTTTCCTGCAGTATTGAGACACCGTAATGCTTCAGTAGCGATAAATCCACAGCTATATTTGCTTTTTCTCGTTCTCCTTGAACGCTTTTATCGCAACCGTGAACCACTCCTTGAATTTGCTGGACTCCAACAAGGTTGTGAAGTCCTTTTTCTCATGCTCGCTAAGTTCAAACTCTTGAAAACAGATTTTGGCAGCTTTCTGGTTTACCTTAACCCACGACCTTTTAAGATTCTTTCGTGCATTTTCACTGATTTCTTCCGGAGTTTGAAAGTGAACGATTGGTATTCTCTCTTCGTCTTCATCGTCACGTTTCGCCAGATGTGAACTTGTTCGCAAGTGCCTTTTCACTTTCGTGTCTCTCTGAGCGACACCAAGCGCATGCTGAAAAGAACCACCAACGACCATCTTTGTCGCCAGTCTTCAGCCAAGTACTCCAATACGTCATCAGAAGGATAACGGCCTGTGTATTTGTACAGCCGCTTCGGTTGATTGGACGTGTTGTTCATTGTTCAAAAAAGACACCAATGAAGCTCTGACGGTCTGGAACCGAGTGAATAACAAAATGAGGACGAAGCAACAACAATCCGAGCAAATGCGTCGCACGTTTGGCGTTATTGATTCTCCACCGTCCAATGGATGTGAAATTTTGATGGGAGAGCCAAATAGGATCGGTTGACATGAAAGGCGTGCTTAGAATAGGCCTTTCAATCTCAATACCATGCGTTTTTTTTCTTACCATTGAAGC